GTTAGCACACATAATTTAAAAAATTCCACTGATTGTATGATAGGAGACGCCCAATCTAAACCGTTGGATAATAATCAAACAAGCAACGCCAACACTTTGTTTGAACGTAGTTCTAGAGAGAACGCGGCCAGCCCAAGTACAAAGAAAATAAATCAACATTTACCTCAGTATTTCTGCCTCCAACACTGACGGCATATTTAAGGGTTTATGAGATAACTTAAGTAGATTTTGCTCGGGGACCAGAAAAGACAGGGCAACGTGGGTTTCCCAGTTCTAATAACAATCGAAGGATTGTGCAAACGTTAGACCTAGAAAACCACTAAAAGGGGGGAGTTATCATATAGAAGACACTTGAAGATACCGTAGGCGTGCTAATCCTTGAAATGTTAATTAAAATTCCGATTTGCTTTTGCGACCCGAAACGATCACTTAGGGCAAGTTGCGACATCAATCCCCGTGGAGCAAAATCCCATAATAATTCGGTTACAATATAATGTCGGCTCTTGGACGAACGTTTTACGACAGCACACAAAAGCTATATTTGGAAAAAACGGCTACCTATGTAGTATGAATTCTTCTCATTGGTTCTCGATTGAATTGTGAATTATATTATATTTTGTAATAAACGAACATGCACATATTCCTCTTCTACATATTCCACAGGAAATTACGTCGTAAAATTTTATACTTAAAAGAAGGATATGATTAGGTTTTAACAAACTTTTACAATTCCTGAATAATTAAGAACCCGACACATACCTTGACGGTTTCGAACCTACAAGCAGGATATTTTCCGTGTACGGCAAATCACACTCCTTTTACTGTAATGAGAGGAAATTACATGTGTTTCTTTCGTTTTAGCGGAGGATTTGAGCAATATTGTAAACTTTACAAGCAAAATAAATAAATGCGGATAGTCGATGTTTATGAAAGGTCGTTTTACGGTCTTAAATACGTTATAATTTAAAAACCTTCCTTCAAATAAAAAATGCGAAGAAAACGCATTTTTTACCAAACAGGCTAAATAATAAGTTTCCACGTGTTTTTTATGAGTTATACGTAAATCTAAAAATTCATCGAAAATCAATGAGGAAGGTTTATGCAACGAAGTAGTCAGTTTTTCCAGTGTAGTTTTTGCGGGTGCTGGAAACCAGTCTGCTCAGAAGCCGGCATCCTGAATTTACTGAATTATCATGGGATTATGCTGCTCGATAATTAATATTGCAAACCTACTTTAGTGATCCTTTCGAGTCGAACACGCATTTTAGAATTTTGGTCAACATTTCATGAGTTCGCACACCTACTGTGCATTCGCCACCACATAACCAGGAGTATTATTTTTTAACTTTTCGCGTGTATGAGTTAGGCAGAACAAACTTTCGTTCAGATCTGGTAATTTCTTGAATGTGAGCGAACGAAATGAATTGATTCTGAATAATTTTCATAGCATAATGAACTTATGTGATCATCCAATACTAATAGGACAAATATTTCGGCCTATGAGAAACTGATCTTCTTATAGCCAGTTTAAGAAAGGATGTTATCGAATGCAGCATCCTTCCGTTTCTCGGTAAAATTGTAATGATGACGCCCGTTAAACTGTATCGAAGTTTGTGCCATTTGATTATACATTACAAACAGTCAGCCAACGTCTCATGGGTTTGGACGTTTGCCTTGGGCTGAGCAAATAATCTGCACTTAGTAAGTCAGAAATTGTAACCAAGGAAGTGACAAATGCGTGCAATCGTGGGCCTGCTGACCAACAAGAAAGACAACCCTTAGAAAGGTCGCAAGAAACGCGGGATGGTTGTATGTAGCCAGCCTTAAAGTAAGCCGTGATTCCTGTGCCTTTCTAAAATTTTGAACTGGTTAGTAGGCCCAATCTGAACAAATGTAGGACAGTAAATGCCCCGATTATGACGATCTTCCGTGGGGTAACAAGGCTACCGCCGCCAGTCAAGCCATACTCTTTAACATATGGGCACGACGTACGCCCTTAAAGGTACCACAGACAAAGAGTCTGTCCTCTCCCCTTAACTGCGATATCCACATAGACCTGGCTTTTTTCCATACAGAATTAATGCAAAGCTACCCTATTTATGTTCCTGGGGCGAAAATTAGGTATTCATTGCATTTTTTTTCATATAACCGATTGGTTTATTTGCAAGTTTCTTAATTTTATGCTTGCCTGAATTTTTTGTCTTCCTTTGCCATAATTTGTTTTCAGTGTTCCATGCGTCTCTAAAACGTCATCCTAAATGCTATTGGATCAATAAGGAAAGTCCAACAATGAGGCCTCATTTAAGGGTTCCGTAATTTACCACACTGCCTGGTAGTAAAGTTGTTTTTTAAATTGTTAACTTAAAATTTCACTCAAAGCAATAATCACGACTGTGTTATGGCTAAATAGAAATAGGTGCTTCATAAAAAACATGCTATATTTTTTCTGGTCGACGTTAATAGTGCTGCCTACAAAGCCTGAAATTCTAAAAGACATTTGGATTTTCATAAAATCTGCAATTTAATAAAAACTGTTCCTCCAAATCCCACAGGTCATTTATAACTGAAAAACAAGTGACGATTAAAGTTGGTCGTGCATTAACAAGTGAACCTACGTTATACAATTTGCTTATGACTCGGCCGAAACCTCGGTCATATTTATTTAAAAAGAACTTAGCCAAGTGTACCTAAGGCTTCATTAAAATCCAGAGATGTAGAGAATTTAAGCAAACTGACTCTGAACAACAGCACACCGCGGTCTTTTCACGAAATAGCGTTTCGGGTTTCAAAAGTTCGCCCTCGTGAATGATGAGATACTCCACTGTTATGAGGAAGGCAGGGATTTCTTTGCAATGAGGAAGATTTTCGTAGCTTACACCTTATTTCCTATCCTTACACTCTCATTGGGTTAAAGATAAGACAGGACCAACGATAAGTAATTGGTTGGAGAACAGTTGCCGGTAAGACATTGTTGCTCGCCTACGTGTACTGGAGACAATCGATCATCAGCTTCACTTGAACGATCTGCAGATCGCATCAAGGAGCCCTTGTGCCCAGATCTCTATGATATGCGTAGTATAAAGTTATCCAGTCAGCTAATCAGAAGCAAGGACAGGACTGGTGGCGCACAGTGGTGTTTGAGGAATGCGTTTGCTTGTTTACGGTAAAGGATCTGAGCCCGTGGGCCAGTCGGATTGATCCAGCTCTCTTTCTCGGTTTCCATACATTCAATCAAGTCAACTGATAATGTGGTTGTGCGAAGCGATTGGCATAGTATGAGCTCCCACGTAACTCAGACGCATTCGTATGTAGTCCGAGTCGCACAAGTCCAGCACAAGCCGACTGATGTGATTCTACCCTCGTTTACCATCCATCGTAACAGTTATGGACACCTTTGGAGGTTTGTGAACTTCGGGGATGGTCCGATGCCTAAGTTTACAGTTTTTTGTTTATTTTATCGTCCAAAGATTGTTGTGCTTGTTTCGACAGTGCCGAAATTGCCACATTTACTTTCTAAGTGTTTGTTTTACGTATGTTTCTAGACTAGAGTTTCCACTTACAGCTAAAATAAGCTATAGCAGTAATTTGGCGTTAGAAGCCTCCTGCCGTCCTCAAGATTATTAAACGACTAACGGGGGAGTTAAAGTTGGTCTCCTTTGCTGTGTCGTACACTAGAGCGTAAAAGTTTAAAAATTACCACCATTAGCACAAATTTTATATGAAAATTCACTTGAAATTGTGAATTGTCCCTATCCTGCTTGGGTATACATCGAAACATGAATGAAGGGTAATATACTCATTAAGTAATGTAGGGCGACTGGACTTTAAATAAGTACTGGCAAAGGTAAAGGTCACTAGAATAACAATCGTACCGTATTGTCTATCGTTAGCACTCATAAGGAAACGCCGGATTTGGATTAACCAGATCACGAATCTGAACGTTTTACTCATCGAGCGTTAAATTCATCGTCCCACCGCTAATCCGAGAGCTCGTTATCTTGCTGGTTGTGGTGAGATATATTAATGAATACGAGCCGGTCGTTTACCAGTCGACCTACGGAAAAAACGGCTCTGTTGCCATCTGAACTTTAACCGAGAGCCCCGAAGACAGTCGCCTAGCGACTCGTTATGCTAAAAAATGAGTACCCAGAAGGAAAGGAGTCTGGGAGACTGTCGTCTGCCGGTCATGTCAACCCTAGGTTCTGGTAACTAGAGACTTAAACATAGGCACTTTGATAACTATTCGTTAAGTATCTCACCGAGTAATCATTGATTCACTACACCATTGTCGTCCCATTTATAATTAGGCACAATAATTAGCTTGCGATGTTCGTTTAGCGATCAAAATGCAGTGAGGAACATGCTCATTTCCTATTTGTTTTGCCATTCATACATGTACATGGTAAGAGAAATCGGAAAATTGTTTGCAGTCAAAAAGAATGTAGAAGGAGTGGGGTATGTAAGTGTTGACATGCCTTCCAGCTATTCCGATGGCTATCACATTGCTTTTAACTCTCAATCCTAAAGTAGGACTCAAAGCCACGCCCTGGAAAATTAATAACTGCAGTATTTCCCGCCTATTCCTCAGAAGAGCTGTGCGACTGATCTTCCAAATGATAAACAAGCGCGCGAAATTTTAATTGGGCATGCTGATTATCTGTCTAGCTTAAAATGCCAAATTTACTATACCCATTGCTCATTTTGCAATAAAGAAGATCATTATTCTAGATGTGATAAGGATGCACTAGGTCCAAATTATTGCTCATAAAATCTGCATCTCACGAGAGAATTAATGTTGCACATAATCCACTTCTGTCGTTCCTATAAGAAATTGTTTGGGCTAATCTCGCCTAATGTACCCGGAAGACTACGATGCAGACGGTGGCAAAAAAGAGAAGAGAGAAGAGCATAATTCTCTTGCCTAAAAATTAAACCAAAGAATGACTAAGAGAAAACTAGAGTGCCAATGAGAAATGGCATTGACGCTGCTGACTTTTGTTTTATCGGTGAGCGTTTGAATAGCCACCCGTTTCCGTTTGTTTCAGATCATCTAGAAAGAACAAGCGACTGGGAATCTAATAACACGGGGTTAATCAAATAGCGAAAGTCCTATTGCCCGTTTAGCTCTTTTGAGTGATACAGAGGTCCATTTCCTGTTTATTGTGCAACCTAGTAGAAGTCTCCTTCGACTGAAAGTTGCCAAATACTCGAAAATAGATGGTAATAAAAAAGTGCTTGAAGTTTCCAAAGGATGCCGACCAGGTCCTGTCCTTTCTCCCGTTTATTCAGCCCAGCAGACAACTGAATGTCCACAAGTACCGAAAGCCTTTTCCAAACGAAAATCTGTACTCTGGTCAATATGATTGTAGTTTATCAGCAAATGAACTGCTTTTGAAAATTCAATTCTCTTTATTATTTGGACAGCGTATTCAATATTTTGTCAACGACAGTTTAGTATTTATAGTGACGGCAGAACCAGAGTCCGTATCACGGCAGAACTAACAAAAAGAGAGTCCCTTAGCCATCAGGCTATCATCTGACCAGATTACCCTATGCTAAACTAGTTTAAGCACTCTGGCAAAATTGCCAAAACAAGTTAAGCGGATAAACGTACAGGTTGATGTAAAAAGACCTTTAGAGTCTATTAAGTTTGCTCATCATTCCCGAAATGTTAATGAAATAATTCTACTGTCACACTAAATGTGTTGATGCATTAGATTTTTATAAGGCTCAAAAAGAGGTACGCAACGCAGTAGACGAAGACCTATGTCACGGCCGCTACCAAGTCTGATCTCATCATCGGTCATTCTGCTTCGAACTTGACGGTTGCAGGCGACTGAGGAGGGACAAGTGAATGCGTTCAGGCCTGTACTCACTATTCTCTCTAAACTACGCCAGATAGACTTGGCATACTAGGTATCGCCTATTAGAAGGTTGCTACCTGAAGGCCTAACCTGGTCCTAAACTTGGGAGAATGTTAGGCATCGCTGGCTTAATCCAACAATGACCTCATGACAGGCTTCAAACTCAGGAGGCAAAGATGCGATCACTGGAAGAAGACACTTATTGGCCTGACGTTTCGGATACTCACTCGAATCCATCATCAGAGAAATTCGCAGATGAAGGATGGATTCGAGTAAGAATTCGAAACGTCAGGCCAGTAAATTTTTTGTTCCAGTGATCGCATCTTCGTCTTCTGAACTGCTACCTGGAACTCGCCTGTTCACTTCTATCAGTAGGTTTCACGCTCTTGGCTCTGACACAGTGGGACCTGCTTTGAGTTCACTAAAACAAACAACAAACTTTGGCTGTTACCTGCCCGTTTTTCTGCGACGCTCTTTGAGAAGAACAACGTGCAAATACTCGATAATATGAACTTACATTAAGCTGAAGGCACTTAATTGCTCACAAATCTGGAAGTTGCTCGTTAGCAAACTCGAAAGGCATAAAATGGAAGCAGTGCAACACGTTTTCTGGCTTTCTGATACCACAGTTTCTACAGTTATTCTCTAAATGTACAGTAGGTGGTCTAACTCATGAAAGGTCGACCGAAATTCCGAAATGCGTTTTCGTTTCGAAAAGATTATTTAAGTAGGGTTATAAAACCAATCATTTTGCAGCATAATTTTGTAATAATTCAGTTACCCCAGAGCGCCGGCATTCGAAAAAACTTCAGTTCGGCTGCAGATAAAAACTATACTTTGTAAAAAATGACTACATATGTGGCACGCATTTTTCTAATTGATTTTCGATGCCTCTAAAAGTCCGATCATACTTCACGGAAAACATGCACAAAGATATTTACTCTTTTGTTCACTCGGTAGAAAATTACACCTTCTTTCAATTTTATACTTGAAGGAGGGACATACTTCGGTTTTAAAAAGTTTCTGATTGGGAGACTTATATAACATGATGGCCATTCATAAAACGTCATGTCTCTGCATTTACCAATGTGGCTTGTAAAGTTAACAATATGGATCAAATCCAATGTTAAATTTTATGAACCCTATATAGTATCCTCTCAATATCGCAAAGAAATATATGGTTTTCCGTATGCGGAAAATACATAGCTTGTAGTGTGGAAACCCTGAATTCATGTGTGGTGCAGAGCGGGTTCAAAATTATTCGGGAATTAGAAACGTTTTTGAAAACCGAATAATTCCCTTTCTTCGAGTATATAACTGGAAGAGAACGTCATTTTCTACTGAATGAGCGAAAGAATAAATATCGTCGTGCATGTTTTCCTTGAAGTATAATCGGACTTTTGGAGGTATCGAAAATCAATAAGAAAAATGCATGCCATATATGTAGTCATTTTTTACTCAGTTTGCATTTTGTATGCAGCTGGTACGAAGTTCGTTTAAAAGCCAGTATCCTAAGGTAGCCGAATTATTATAGAATCATATTGTAGGCTGACTTGTTTTACAAACCTGCTTAATTATTCCTTCCGAAACGAAAACACACTTCGGAATTTCGGTTGACATTTCATGAGTAAGCCCACCTACTGTATGACATGACGGTAGGTTGAAGGCAGCTAAAGGAGAATGCACCCTCCCGTGTGAGCGCGACCGTATAGCATCGTCTGCCTTCCTATCCTCATCAAAAGGTGCCCAGGCTGCTGGAAAACTATACACACATCTATACATTTTTAAGTATTACAATTGATGGGTTGTGAGGATTCCGACTTCGCGCGATTAGAACAGAAAATCAATGCTTGAAGACTAAACACCAGGCCGAACATAATACCGGTGTACCTAATTATTAGCAAGTCAAATAAAAGGCTGATCAGAATGCCGAGAATGCCCCTAACCACTTTTATGATGACCCAAGTTTAAAAACAGGTGAAAACAGGTTAATGTAAGAATGTCCTAAATGACAGCCAAAATTGCCACGGTGTTAATGCTGTGACTTTTCAGCCAAAATAAGTGTCATTCATTTATGTTTTGGCAGATTTTGAATAATTTATATTGACCCAACTGTGAAACACTCGGCGCCTCGGTGGGATTCGAACCCACGCAGTAAGGGGAAGGCTTTAGCGCAGCCAACGCTCTAACCACCTAAGCTACGGGGCCCCGCCGGACGACGTGAGTTTAATCACATTTGGGTTAAGTTACCCGCCCAACCTACTGCAACGTCTGGAATCCACCAAAGCTGATACAGTAAGTTGACTGCCCAAGCAGGATTTCCTAAGTAATTCACCTAGAATCCGCCAGATGACTACCAGGCTCGCGTAATTCATTGATGTTTTGGTGAATTTTGAATAATTCATATTAGGCGGATAACTTGACCCAAATGTGATTCAACTCACGTCGTCCGGCGGGGCCTCGTAGCTCAGGTGGTTAGAGCGTTGGCTGCGCTAAAGCCTTCCCCTTACTGCGTGGGTTCGAACCCCAGCGAGGCGCCGAGGTTTTCACAGTTGGGTCAATATCAATAAGTGTCATGTTTAAAAATATCAACTAGCAATTATAATTGTTAGATGGTTTTATATCCGTTGATTTAAACGAATAAAATGAGGTGCTGTCAAATAATTGAAGGAGGCATTTAGTTAGGCTCAATTACCGCCAAAAATGTTAGAATGACGTATACCACTCATGTTAATTTAGATTACCGCAGACCTACCCCATGGTTTTATTTGGTCGACAAAAATCAGCATTTTCTGTCTATGAGTAACAGACACGTCAAACCTGATTTAACGGTTGATCTGGCAGGACTATTCATCTTTCCGCCTGACTCAAAAGGGGATATTCCGCCCTGAGGACATTTTGGGACTCATATGCTCCCATCAGGGGAAGAGAAAGAAACATTATCAATGTTTAAACACCATGCTAAATACCACAGGTACTAGCATTACTGCACTCTTGCAAATTGTGCCATTGCAATTCAATAGAAGTTGTTGGAACTCATTTGCACCGAATTAACTCGCGAAAAACCAAAACCCCCTAAAATCGGCGGACAAGTCATTTAAGCACACTGTTCGCCAATATCGTCTGACCATAAGGGTTGAAAACCAGCGTCAACTAACTTTAAGAACCATAAAATTGGAACCTCTGAATCTCTCCTTACACAGCACAAGTGACATGAATGGCTTTCCACAAGCAGATCATCAGTTTAGAACGAAGAACTAAACATAATGCTAGAAATTTTCAACAGAAATCGGAAATCGTACTATTCATAAAATTAGGTTAGATCGGCTGACGAAATCTTAAACGTGACAGTCGGATCAGATTGAAAAAAACTAATGTGCCAGAATCGCTACACAAGTCAAAATTTATTCAGGACCCGAGGGCGCGAAGGAGAATAACATATGAGGATTGAAATAAGGCCTGACCTTCTTTGAGAGGACAGTATCATTCAAAAGAAATGCATATAAAACTTTGCTAGTCCATGATGATAGTCGGATAAATCGAAGCCCCACCAATTTGATAAGTTTCTTGACCACTTTTGCAAATTATTTAGGCTTGCGAACTTAAACCTTTTCCATCAGCGTGGATATCTGAGTTGCTCCCAAATGGTGCAACCCCAGCCGTAAATTCCAGTGTCGCAAGGGACAGAGAGCACCGCTTGGAAGTGGGAAATTTTAAATGACTGGACCGCCTTTGATGTGAACAGAAGTGCGGAAGACATGTGAGATTGCAAAAAGGTTCAAGACGTAACAAAATCCTGACTTCACTCCGACTCCAATCGCATGACGGCCACCGGACGGCGCCTGAGGTAGCCGTAAAAACCATAAATCCAAACATAGATTAATTTAAATTTTGAGGCTGGCCGGGGTTCCAGCTCCCGATCGTCAGTGGCAGAACCCAGATTAACTACATAGTTGTTACATAATAGGCCGGTTGCATCACTTCTGCTTTAGATACCTGGTGAGTCTAACAAAACCCTTCAGAAATAAGGCGCGAGTACACACACAGGATTTAAGAGGACTTAGATTTCAGGTGACATTAATGCATAAAAGGCAATAATAATCATTTCGATTAAGCGTGATGTAATTTACAGGTAAAATTGTTATATTGACAAAACAGCAAACCTCCGGAATAAAAATAATTACGGGCAGCTCGAACAGAGACCAAGTTTAAAAAGTTCTGCGTTGATTGATTTTTTTTCATTGGGCAACTCACATGACCGTGCACCCGACCTTGACTTCTTGCATAGAACCCCTAGAGCTCACTTGACTTAGAGAAACCAAAGCTTTTAATAAAAAAAACGTAATATAAAAATGTGCGCACCAAAAGACAATATCTGAACTAAAGGAAGTTCTGGCAGATCCGTTTCAATGGTTTCGATCAATTTAAAGCCTAGAGAGCACTTTAATTGACTAACGTGACATTCGATAGTACCCTTCTCCGAAGGCTCTTGATCAGGCATGTTTGAGTGACGGAATTACTAATGTTTTCTCTGTCTGTTATCTGCTTGATAAATAGACACAGCCTCGACCAACCGGAGTAACATAAAACCGAAAACAACGACTCCTGCTCTTAACAATACAAAACGCTATATTGAAAATATGTAGGATTGTTTGGGAATAAAATATACTTTAATGCGTAAATGTTTAAGACTGGTTCTCCAGCTCGTCGTCAAACTTTTGGAATGTCCGTTTTCCAGTAAAAACGCTTTACATTTTGATCGAAAGGCGGACGCTCAGGGCACTGTTATGAATTAGAAAATATTGAATGGCTACGTTACCTTTGAAAATGAGGGATAACATGTAGCTTTGAAAGTAAGATGTGGTTTGATAACCCCACCTCATGGACACAATACTGTTGGGATTAGGGTTAAGGGTTATGGTTAGGTTTTAAGGTTGGAAGTTAGGGTTAGGGGTCATGGTTTAGGGTTAGGGGTTATCACAACTATTTCCCAACATTAAAAGTACAACCGCGAATTCCCACTAGCTTTTATTCTGCATATAACTACTTGGCTTCGTCGTCTGTGCGTTCCCCGTTTGTTTACTTCAGGTCGGGCTACCAAAGAAAATTCTACCATAAAAAGTTCCCTTACGCAACTTGGTAAGGAGTATAGATAGATGCATATGACATGAAAGTACTTTTTATATTGCTGGCTTTGTGCGACAACGTGAACTCCGTTAGACTCAAGTGCATATGAAGTGTGGCAGCTGTTCATATGGCTGCAGGTAGACGAGAAACCTTTTTATAAACGTTTTGCAAAATGCTATTTTTGTAAACAAGACTTAACAACTTATCCGTCCCAAAAGAATGATCAAAAATGGAGGATGACCCAGAAAACGTATTGTATGCCCTATATGCGGATTCGGATAGAAACACCCCGGTACCTAAAGATCTGTCAAAGACGCTTATGTTTCACCTACATTATTGGTAAGCCTCGTTTGTGAGAGGCATGCCTGTGCGTACTGTTTTTCTTAGGGAAAGGACTAACCGCAGGTCTTCAGTATGCAAACACAACAAAAACGTTTTCTGGTTTGCTTTTTGCGTCGGTGTTGCCAGTGGACATTATTCTTCTACGGAGCTATCGTTTGGCTCATAAATTAGTAAAGTTTATTATGTTCATAGTGAAGCTTCAGTCAGGCAGTCTTCGACAATATACATTAGTTTTTCCTCCAGCAAACGACAACTTATATAGCACATCATAAGACCGAAAAATGCATTTTTGAGTAAATATTCCCTAGTTGCTCTGACACTTCTGATACCAAAACGCCGGTAATATCTCTAGAAAAACATTGTCTATATTAAGTTTTCAACAGATGAACCTTCACCTTTCCACGTTTGCGTGAGGACCTGGGCCCTTAAAGTCGATTAACTGCAGCAGTCCTCAAAGATAAGAATTTTGTCAATTGCCAGTTGTGTAAGGAAAGAATTTTACAAATGCTGTACTTTGTATCGCCCGAAAGTTTTAATACCTTACGCATCCAGACGTAGTACGCTGGCACACTGACATTCGAGAGAAAATTTGGGCTCTAGTTTCTGCCCCAAATTTATATGAGGAACAGGCAAAATGTTTGGGACTTGAAATCAAGTCTATCAAAACAGAAATAAAAAATGATTTCGCAAACAAACAAAACTGACTAGAAATGGGAGGTAGAATGATGTGGTTGGCGGATGATCTGAAACGAAAACAAATCCGCAAACAAGGGCTTAGATTCATATCCGAAAATAGCAAATAAGGAATTGCCTTTCAGTCGAAAGTGCTTCATGCGTTTTTTTTAAAAAAAACATTAACTGGCGTCAAGGATAGAAATCAGAACTGGCTATTACACATAATGTAAATTGCTGCATGTCTGAAGCATTTAAAAAATAAGGCCACGATACCAATTCAAGGATCGGTATGAATCCAAAAAATATTTTAAAAAATCATTAACTTAGCGTCATGACTCACTTAACGGTTTGTTCATTCTGCAGCTCCTCCTGCCGTTGTCTGCTCATAACGTCCTCAATAATGCGCCTTTCCTCAGGCGTAAGGTGTGAGAGGTCGGGGTGCTCCGTAGCCACATTCGGAGGCATGAGCCCCTTATCGAGAGGTCGCCTGTCGAAAGCGTCAACCGGTTTGACTCGGGCAGGTTGCATAGCGTCCTATTTCGATACATCCACGTTAGCAAGCGCGATCAGATGGGGTCTACTCCTGGAAGGTGGCTGTTGCAAGAAATCAGAGAAAAGTGAGTACTCCAGGCGCTAATTTTGACCTTTGCTGGGAAGGATGTGAGGTGATGTCGGCGTGCGTCGAAACTACAGCGGAATTATCAAAGAGAGCTTGAAAGAATGACGACATTATGCTACGCCTTCCACGATGTGCCACACAGTACTCCTTGACCACCTCAAGACGGTGATCGCCGAAGTAGAGAATTCAAGTGGAAATAAAGCAGTCAGAACATGCAAAATATCTATGTGAATTATCCGGTGTTAGTATGTATCAGCGTTATGCCAGTAGCCATTCGGCAGTAGTAGAATCCAACAATCGGAATGGAATCCCCGTCAGGAAATCGCAGGCGCACACAAATTGTTTTTATTTACACAGATCCTATCCAGAAAAAGCGAACTGAATCGACCAGTGAACAAGGCCGTTCTAAAGAATGTGCTTAAACTTGCATTCGTTGTTGCGACTGGATGCAGCAATGAAGGTTGAGGCAGGCATGAGGATGTGTCTGTAAACAGTCCATGCCTCCCGCGTCTATTGATCGATGACTACGCCGGCTCGTCCTTTCTCTCTCTCTCTCGCTGTCTCTCGAAGGCGAACGTGGAAAAGAGGAAGGAGCAACTCTGGCAGAGCACGAGCGCCCTGTTTGTAATCCACTCACTCACTCACACGTTCGCATGTGCGCGTAAGTGCGGCTACGCGAGAGAGAGAGAGCTGGAGATTGATGCACTGGACGGACAGGCGCGCAGTGGGCCAGACAGCAAGGCAAAAGGCGTGGGTTGCCGCCTCGAGCACTCGCTCAAGGCCTGTCAATGCTGCTGCCTTTCTGGCCCTGGTCTTCCCAAAGACTCGCGTCCACGGTTCCCCGGCGAAAAAAAGAAAACATCGTTCGATGGGAATGCTGCTGCTGGTGGTGGTGGTAGTAAATGAGGATGATGGCGGAGCGGAAAACGCACACTACTAACGCCTAGCGCATTTCGGGAGGGCTTCGATTTGCGCTTCCGTTGTTTTCAAACAGCAGTCTAGAGTAGAGGGAAAGGGTGAGAATTGCGAAATGGAAAAATTATGAGGAGGAGGGCGAGACAAGGAGAAGGGGTAGGCGGAGGATTGAAAGAAGTGAAAATCCTACGAGATGAAGTAACTATAAACGAAGGCGGAAATACGTGGAGACGAGAAGACTTAGAGAGAACTCAGGCAGTCTGGTGGATGGGCAAGTCGGGGAGGATCAGGGATTCGAAGACAATGAGGGAGACTGGTTAGGTAGCGCAGGAGCGGCCTTAGCGATAACAGGAGCATCAGCGTGCGAAAAGGTATCTGGCGGGGGAGAGTTGTGCGTGAGCGTACCTCAGACGATTAACCGGATAGGATGATTGCCAATTACTGATCAAGGGTCTTTCGCACCACTTACAACTATCCGGTCAAAAGTCCACCATTACTGTTCGACGATAAAATAGTTGAATTTTGGGCGGCTGAACAAACAGTCTTCTCCCTAAATGCATAATGCCTGTAAACAGAAACGACGGGATCCTTCAGCAGGCATTGCCTTCTTGATTCAAGAACACCATGAATGGGTAATTCTTTGCAACAAGAGCACTGCTATGGAGTCTTGAAAATCTCCATGTTTTTAGATACTGATAATTTGCAGATACCGCCCTTTCTCAAATCTCAGGGAAAGCAATTCATAAAAACCTTAGCGAGATATCCCATCATCCATCCTATACTTCAGGAATGTAGCCTGAAGCTATCCAACACTGCTAAAGGGTGTAACCCAATTTTTCGGAAGGAAGCCATTTACAAATCAAGCTTTGGCTTCACTGCTGGGAGAATGCACCTAGAAGGTAAATCAAAGCCTTCAAAAAAGCCATTCTGCGGATGATAGACGACAACAGAAAAATGGTAGTTAGGGAGGAAGGCCTAGGCTGGGGTTGACTACGCAGTCCTGATCCCAAATTTAAGCGACATGCGGGCTTTGAAAGTAAGATAGGCCGAAGGGAGATGCTGGAATCGGAAGTGAGGAAATTGGCTGAGACTGAAACGGAAAAGTCAACCTGATGTAGGACAAATCTGCCGCGCGACTGAAGGAAGTTTAGAACCCACGCAGCACACCTGGCACATAGGACGCACGAGGCAGCAATATCAGAAAACCTGACGGTAAAACTAACCCCAATCCGTAAAGTAATTTTAAACCTAACGCTAATTCTAAACTTAATCCTAAACCTAACCCTAACCCTAGGCTCGACGTCAAACTTAGCCCGTTCCATGAACCCAACCCTAACCCTCATGTAAATCGTGACCCTATCCTAACACTAACACTAAACATAAACCTGATCCGCAATCCAAACCCTTACACTAGCCGGAACCCTTAAACTTAATGCAAACTCCAACCCTGAACTAGATTCTCAGCCAAAACCTAAAACTAACACTACCCAGACATCAGGCTTCTCTTTTCCGTTTTATCATTGGCTACTTTCCCACTAACGATTTCAGCATTCTCCTTCGACTTACTTATTTTTCAATGCCCACATTGCGCTTACACTTTGGGACGAGGACAGCGTAACCGGCCCTTAACAACGACCGTTTTCAACTTAATTCCTAACGCAATAGGAAGACTTGCTAGTCATAATTCGACAACCCTAAAAAGCAGAAGCAACACAGCAGCTGTAATCGATCACTTTCGCGTATAATCCATAAAATGTCTTTTCACTCACTCTGTGAAACTGTAATGTATTGTAGGCATTGTGAATGAATGTATCTACGCTGACAATATAGGGGTGCATAATAAAATGCGTGACGTGTGGTACTGCGATAGCCCATCGCAGGGATCCGTAGAAAGAACGGTTTCGCTGTTTACTTCTAAGCAAGTTTTTCTTTTAAATGTCTAAGACAAGAAGCTCCAGAACTTGTCTGTGGATGTCAGTATCTTCGATAAGAATCTTTCAGAAATGACGTAAATACTTTGAAAGAGAAGATGAAAATGCCACCCACGCATCGCCACTAAGAGTGCCGAATACGCCTCCACATATTTAGCTAGTAATGCGAGTGAAGCCTTTCATGGAATAACCGTGAAAAAAAAACAATTTTAAATTATATTGAATGGCATACAAAAACACCGAAAGTGGGAAGGAAGTTTACTAAGCAGTAGTATCAGAGGAAATTTGTGTTTCGTCCCTTCAGAAGGGAGAATTTGCAAGTGAATGTACACGAATCGTCAAAATGACCTGACCTGAAAAGTGTGGAAATTGTAAACAACAGCAGAAAGGCCAAGTCAATTAAAAGTTTCAGCTTAGTTGCCCACTTTTCGGCACTGAGTAGTTGGTATTGTCAGTAGTGGCTAATTATCTGGAAAGTTCTACTGTGCCCCGTATTGATCTTATTATTAAACTATTAAATCGGCTTGTCTTGAACATTAATGGCTTATGCTGCACCTAATATCCTTAACAGCTTGATTTAATAAGTGATGATAAAGTATTCTAATCCGTTTGTCTGCTAGTATGCGCAAGTTGTTCCATAAGAAACTCTCGCGAAGGGCGATTCTGGACTTTCGTCTTTCGGATATGGTGCAAGTCCTGTCACGCATCCTATAATGCCAAATATTTGCTTCCGCATGTATATATTTAAGCACACATCAGACTGATTAATTCATGCAGTGGCTTTTTAGGCAATGAAAACGGAAATATTTAAAAATGTCTATTTTTCGTAAAGATGGACCGTAATATTTGCAGCTTATGTCAAATGCAAACATCGCAGCCATAAGATTGATTTTTTTCCCAAAAGCATTTGTTACTAGAGTTGCGGATGTCTACTGTTTGAGTTTATACGCCGGCGTTTCCTGCAGACACTACAATCACGGATTTATGGCCAGTGACATTAATGCAATTGGAATATGCTATATGGGCGTTATTTTATTGTGATACACACTAAAAACGAGACATAATCATGTATAATAGGAGAATCGTGCACATAAGTACTGTGGGAGCATTTGTTTGAAAGATCTCTCAACGAATATCCGGACATAAAAAATCAATTGTATCGATTGCGGACCGCTAAACTGTTCCACCCTAACTTACTACGATGCAGATATTCTGTTAATCTGATATTCGCTGGAAAATTTAAATTACCGTCAATGACCAATCATTTGAAACTTTATCTGAAATCCGTATTCACTTGGGAAAGATTGCATAGGTGGAGTTGTGATACTAATCCTCGTGCAGTATAACCGGAGGTATAACAGAGGCCGCGAGATTTTGTCTCTTGGATACACTTCCTTTCGGCCGTCACCACGCAAGTGGAGTGTTATACGCAATGGTCTCTCGATTACCGTTGAAAAACAGCAAATAAGGGATTGCTATGGTAAAAAATTGAGGATATTCATAGATGTTTTGGAAGATTTTGGATAATTCATACTGACCCAACTGTGAAAAATTCGGAGCGTCGGTGGAATTTGAACCCACGCAATAAGGGGAATGCTTAAGCACAGCCAACGCTCTAACCACTTGAGCTACGAGGTTCCGCTGGACGACGCAATTTTAATCACATTAGTGTCAAGTTACCTGCCTAACCTATTGCGACGTCTGGAATCCACCAAATCTGATACTGCATTTTGACGGCCCAAGCAGGATTTCCTAAGTAATTCGTCTAGAATCCACAAGATGACTACCAGGCTCACGTAATTCATAGATGTTTTGGCAGATTCTAGGTGAATTGCGTAGGAAATCCTGCTTAGGCAATCAACTTACTGTAGCAGATTTGGTGGATTCCTAAAGTTGCAGTAGATGGGGTGGGTAACTTGACCCAAATGGGACTAAACTCTCGTCGTCCAGCGCGGCCTCGTAGCTCAAATGGTTAGAGCGTTGGCTGTACTAAGGTCTTCCCCCTTACTGCGTGTGTCAGAATCCCACCGAGGCGTCGAGTTCTTCACAGTTGAGTCAATATG